GCTACTTTTTAGGCGCATATGAATACAAATGCAGTGCACCAACTAGCTCGAACATATTAGAGACGTGTGCACCACTAACTTAGACTGCATTTTGCGCCAAATTGCATAGTTTAATTTGTTGCATCGTGCCTCTCTCCTAGGTAGGACATGTATAATGACTCGAACCTGCCTATATAAGGCCACTGTTTCTGTGTTAAAGTTGTGTTGTGTTGTGCCAGCGGCCTTGATAGCCAGCGAAGGACGCAGGCCCTCTTAGCCCGAATCATCACCAAGGGATCGATGACCCAGCCAACGATCCGAAAATGGCCGGAGCATCGGGGCCAACGGACGAGACCTTCAAAGCCCCGCCCCAGCAGATTATCGGAAGATTGATTTGTCAACCTCAGACTCCACTGTCAAAAAGCCTGGCATATTTGCCCTCGGTGTGAGGGTGCATCCAAGTAAATCACTAACATGGGAATCTCAATGCTCATTGTTCAAACTTTGTGGGTGGTATCCTTGGTATATTGATTAGGTGCCATTCTGTGCCGCCAGTACACCTGACAGTGTTTTATGGTAGTTTTAGGATCGAAACCTGATTTGCAGTGTGTTTTTGTTTCTCGCACTGTTGTTCTCTTGGCTTCTCTATTTTCTTTTGAATGGTAATGCTAGCTGAATCACGATTTCTGTGCCACTTACTGTTTGTTCTTTCAACTGCTAAGGGATGAGACACAGACCGCAAACTGACCTGCTCCTTTCCGACATGTAAATTGTCGGATTCCTTACTTATATATATGCATACATATATATTTGTATTCATGTGTTTATTTATATTTACACATCGTAAATTTCATACGCAATTTATGTATCTAGGGTTTTGAAGAAAATATATTTGCATTCAGTGTAAGAATGCGTCCAGCTAATTCCACTAACATGGAGTCCCCTATGTTCATTGTCCAGGCTTGCCTTTGGTATCCTTGATATATTGATATATACATATATGTGTGTGTATAATTTGGGTATCTCCACAACCGATATTTCCCATAGGAAGAAATCAGCTGGGTGATGTTTTCGTCAGAAATCATCAAAACTCTTTGAAGCGAGCTTTGACTGGTCTTTGAAATATTAAGGTATTTTCACTGCTTGGG